TATTCGTTTTATCCGTTCTATCAGAATTATTCATTTTATTCGAATCATTAAATTAAAGGCGAGATATTATAACAACAATAATAATTATAGTAATATTAACGATAGTAGTAGTAATAATAATACAATACCATCTGAAAAGTTTTTTCATCAACTGGGATTTATTTAAGTCCTTGGCAGGTTAATCTTGTGTTACAATTTTTCAGTGTTGTGCAATTGGAACATTGTAACGCTGTTGAAATTGAATTTCATTGGTTAACTTCATTGGAATGTTCAAATTCCAATTGAAATTTATTAGAATGCTCCAATGAAATTTTATTGGAACCAACACTGCAATTTTTGTTTTTGTTACTAACACCAAAACATAATATTTATTACTTTTTTCTTTGGGTGAGACTTATAGATCGGAGTTTCTATTCAAATTCTTAATTCGAATTTATTTGTTTATATTACTATTACTATTGTTGTTATTACTATTATTCATTTTATTTGCTATTCTTATTCAAATAAACATTCAATGCAATTCGAATATCCAAATTCATAACGAATAAAAAACAAATAATTCTTATTCGAATAGAAACCTTACTATGACTATTACTATTTGCTAGTAGAAAAAAAAATTAAATCACTATTATTATCATTACTAAAAAGGGAAAAAACCAATTACTACAACCATTATTGTTAATTGACTAAAGGAAAGAAAAGAAAAGAAAAGAAATTTACTTTTGCTACTACTATTATTATTATTATTACTACAAGGACTACCAAAGAAAAATAGAACTGATAAGTAAAAAAATTTAATTGGATTGGATAGTCCATATGCTATCACTATCAGTTATATTGTTCGGATGACTCTTTTTATTCGAATTTGTCAATTAAAAAATTTCACATGATTAAATTAATCGGTTAAAGGGCTTTTGCTAATGTAGTTTTTATAGTCAAGCATAGTTATAAACTACTCTCATATCAATTTCGATAGAGGTTTATGGAGAAATTTTTATTATCATTCATACAGTAGAATGTTCAAAAGTTATTCCGTTCCTGTTTCCTGTTCCTTGTTGTACAATACTTATTAGGTAATGGAATCAGGATCAACTTTGAGCAGAAAATTTCCTAGTTGTTTCCACATCTATCTTTGGCACTGGTCTCATAATAAATTTATGCGTTTTTTAAAGAATATTTTAAATTTATGCATAACTAATATAAATAATTATTAAAATTCCAACTCACGAAAGGCATTGTTTCTAAACCTACTTCAAGAAGCGACTGGTTCAGATGGATTTGATGAAAGTTTTGATGAAGATGAATTGCCCTTTAAATATTTTGTTGTTTGTCATTATTAATAGAAGAAGCTACCTTTGAACTGGGTAAATGCTTTGCCGTTGTTGTTTGCCATTATTAGTAGAAGAAACTAAACTTGAACTGGGTAAATACTTTGTCATTGTCATTACTGGATGAATACTTCGTTGTTGTTGAGGCTGTTGAGATTGTTTGTTACATAGCTATTTTTAATATTCTTGTTTTCATTTAGAATTTTTTTTTTTGGAAATTTTTAATAAAATTGTTTCCAAATTTGGAAGTAGAAACAAGGAGAAATTCGTTTCCGTATGTAACGAAAATAATGGTGGTGATGCAAAATAATTTTGCATAACAAACAATAAAATGCGTTATTTATCATAATTTGTACATCACGCCACTTGTTTATGTCCCATTGAAGACTTTTATGAAAGAAAAGGCTTCGTCAAATTCTACTTTCTACCTCTAGCATCTTTTAAACATGCGTTCGTTACACGAATATTGAAACTTAACTTCAAAAATTATTTACATTACTGGCCTGACAATGCTCATTCAGCAAAGGAAAATACATCAGAAAGTGAATATTCCATTTCATATTGTTGAACATAATCTTGAAGGGCCTAAGGAAACGAGTACTCTTGAGCATAAGCAGGATAATGGCTGTCTGATAAATGGTTTTATAATACTTTTTTTCATAAATAACCGGGTTTCTTTTATTTATAATTTGCAACGTTATAGAAAATATGAAAGCATGTAATTTTATATGCTTAATCTTCAAAACTTAAGCTACAAGATGTTGTGATTTTTTATATAATTATATGTACGTTGTTGCGTTAGAATAATTACTCTGTCAAAATTTTTAAGTCAAAAATTTTGAGGTTTTAAAAAAGAATGTGAATTAGTTTTACAAAAATTGGCAATAGTATTTCATATTAATTTTTTTTTATACTTGTTTGGTTATGTTTGTAATGCAACTTTTTGTCACCACCATTATTATTGTCATTTTTGTTACCTTTCCATTATGTATCCATAATGTAATTTTCGTATAACATTGAATAAATTTGTGTAATTTTAACTAAAATTATACAAAAATAAAATCAAACTCGAGTTTTTTTTTTTAGAATTCTTTTGTGTAAAGTGTATGCAAAAATATTTGTTTGCATATATTTAAACGAGGAAAATTTAATAAGAAATAAAAAAAAACTGACTCTTGCTTAGCCTTCGAAAAAAAAATTTTTTTTATCACCAAAAATACTTTAAACTTATTAAAAAACGCTACCCCTTATAAGTGATGGAAGGAATTAACGCTCAAGTTGCAAACACTGGTGCAGCTGGTTTGTCGTTTGTCTCATTCTTTTGTCTTCTTTTGGTGAACTTGGGGGCGCCAATTATCGAAGGAATTTTTATTACGAGCGTTGAAATAAAATTAAAGTATTCATCAACCGCAAAAATTATATTTGGAGTATATGGTGTTTGTGCGAAGGTTTACAGTAGTTATGGTTCAAGTGCTAATAAATGCGCGAGTCTTGGTCTTGATAATGCTTATGACATTAGAAATGGCAGTACAAAGTTTTTGTTGTCTATGCATGCTATTGGTAATGTGCTTACTTAAAATGCGAAAAATATTGTATATAATTAATTATTTATTATTTATTGTTTGAATATATTTTTAGGTGTAATAACATCATTCATGCTATTTGCCGTTGGAATGTATGCCCGCATCAATCCTATACCTAAAAAAGTGTCATGGATCTTCGCATCGTTCAGTTCATTTATCATTCTGTTAGCAATTGGAGGACAAATTGACAATTATTTAAAAATCAAAGAAGCCGTTGACGATGATTATACTACAAAAACAAGTATTGGAGCCAGTGGACTTGTACCTGTAATTTTAGCTCTCATATGTTCACTTATTTCAGTTTTTGCATTTTACACGGGAGATCAAGCTGCACCTAACATCAATGGTCCCGAAAATACGGCAACAATTATCAATCAGCCACCTGTTGCTCAATATCAACAACCTATCAATCAGCTACCTGTTTCTCAATATGGTAATCAACAATTCCTACCTCCACAACCTTATCCAAATTCTCAATATGGTGAATATAATAATTTTCAATCTCCACCTCCACAACCTTATCTAAATTCTCAATATGGTGATCAATACAATGTGAAACAAAATCCATATTCAAGTCCACCACCTCCACAATCTCCACAACCTTATACAGGTAATCAACCTTATTCGAGCACCGACCATGAACCTGTTATGATGTAACTTTGATTTTTCCAACCCAATGTATAATTATTATGTTATTTTCTATATAAATATTATTATTAATATATTTCATATACATAACAATTAGAAATTATGGCTCTGGTTATCTTCCAGAAACATGACCATTTTTGTAATATAAATTGATTTTTTTTATGTATAAAGAATAGTGCAGAAATTTTTCTTTCCATTTCTAAATCTTTGACAAAAAATTCAGCAATCCATTCTAAAATCCGAGTTGGGATATTTGAATATTCGAATTTTTTTCCTAATACTAATACTAATACTATATAATACTAATTCGAATTCAATTTTGTGTCACATTAGCGTTCGAATTTTTGAAAAAAAATTATTTGCATTCATTGTCATTTTTTCATGCAACCTTACATTTAAACCCAGTAGGGAATGGGGATGAACAAAGCTTTTATTTTTTCTTTCATTTGAAGAGCCAGAGCTCGAACTGTTATCTGACATTTAATATCTAAAAATTTTGTTGGCAAAATTATTTCAAAATGAATTTCAAAGGAAAAGATAATGACGATAATAAAAGACGAATAATTTTTATTTAGTTGCACTATATGACCAAAGGTTGCTTTTATTTTTGTTTTAAAACTAAGTATTCAATTATGTTACACATTATTTAAACATATTCTTTACCACCCACCTTTAATATTAATGTTTTCACCAATTATAAGCTTTATAATTATCATGCAAAAAAATTCAATTCCCAGAACTGTGGAATGATGTCCTATATAATAAAAGTTATTTGACGATTTTGAATAGAATTATCAATTATATATAGTATTTTCAGATTGAAAAGACCCATTCTTCATTGTGAATAGGTCATTATCATATTAAAGAAAACCAGCAATTCTACAGTTCTAAAAGTTTTCCCAGGTACGGTGGAATTTATTTATTTTTATAAGGCAATCTTTAAAACGGGCATCATTATTTTATAATCTTATTCCTGATTGATTGATTGTAATAAAAAATTTATCATCAAAGATACGTTTCATATGGTTTAAATATTTGAAGCTTGAATGACTTTGTTCAACAATAATTGATAACTAAATAAATTATTACATAGTCGTCCCCGTTAGGCCGAAGGCATTTTATGGAGCCATTTTTCTTCGGATTAACGCATATACTCATGTAGATTTTACGCTTTAAAAAAGGATCGGATTTCATAATGCACCTTAACTGTTGTTGAAATTTCGTAGTGTACCAGTACAAATTTAGAAATTATCTCCAGAAATTCAATATTTGATTGGATGATAATGCAATCAATTTGGGTATATAATGCTCAAATGTTATAAAGTTGTTTCTTTTTTGTTTGCAAAGAATTTTTGAATTTATTACACGTGTATTGGACTTTTTTATAATTTTGAAGTTAAAATAAAAAATATTGTGAACATAAAATATTATATTATGTATGTCATACTATTGTGATATTTGCTCCACCATTATCATCCTCTTCTTCTCCTCCTGGTACTAAACTAGCAAACATTAAAGGTGCACAATAACGCCTTTTGGAAAATTTATATATTTCAACAACTATTTCAAATATTATTATTGATCCCAATATTAATCCCCATTCCCAACTAAACCCTAATTGATGAAATACTTTTGTATTCAACCTAATTAATTAATTAAAATATGAAATAAAAAAAAGATTATCTTAGTAATTTAAATTTTTTTTAATTAATAAATGATTTCGCTACATACCCAGGTATATAAAAAGTAGGAATTGCAATAAGTGCACCGCCAACTACTGCCCAAAATAAAAATTTATTATCACAGAAATGCATCGACCAAATCGGATTTCTTAACGATCGGCAATTATAGGCATGTATAAATAGTAGATAAGTTAAAGTCGCAAAGGATACACCTCTTGCTCGGAAAACTTGCTCACATGCGTCTTCTGTCTCCGGATTCAAACTATGATTGCATCCGCTACCTAAGTTTCCATCACCAGCTGCATAAATCACTATAGAAAAATTTGTTAACGTCAATCCACCCATAATACATCCATAAAATAACGTATCACCAATGACTTCCCATGAAAATAATCCACGACGACTTTGGGGTGGATATCTCATTATATCTTTTGATGCTCGTTCAACCCCCAAACCCATTGCAGGCGGTGAACTAGTAACCATGTTCAAGAAAAGTATTTGTAATGGTGACATTGGATTTAAGGATAAACCATCAGTATCAATAAATGACAATCCGATCACCAATGCAACGATTTCTGATACGTTTCCACTGAGTAAATGTGAAATGAATTTCTGTATATTTACAAAGATTCTACGACCTTCAGAGATTGCGCTAACTATTGTTGCAAAATTATCATCAGTCAACACTATATCACTTGCTTGTTTTGCCACGTCACTACCGCCCATTCCCATTGCAATACCAATATCTGCTTTTTTAAGACTTGGCGAGTCTTTATGAAATTTGTGGAAAAGAGAAAGGGAAAAATAGTAAATACACTATGTATAATAATAATGATGATGATAATTATCATTTTCATCATAGTAATCATTCTTATTCATACCGTTGACACCGTCACCAGTCATTGCCACAAATTTTTTTCTTCTATGTAAAGCCTCAATCATTTTCACTTTAGTTTCAGGACTGCAACGAGCAATAACTTTTGGCAGTTCTTTAAGTTCATCAATTTCTTTATCAGTCAATGCGTCAAATTGTGTTGCTGCCATTACAAGTTGCGATTGTGATCCATTATCGTCATTAACGATTTTATTAATATTATTACTACTGACTAAATAATTTGAAGGAATTATTCCTATCTCTTTAGCAATTGCTGCTGCGGTCAAAGGATGGTCGCCTATATTTATTGAAAAAGATTAGATTATTGAATGAATGAATTAGGAAATAAATAAAATTAATTTTCTACCTGTTAACATGTGAACTTCAATTCCAGCACCAAAACACTTCATTACGGCATCCTTTGATTCAGGTCTTGGTGGATCGTAAATACCAACAAATCCTAAAAATATCATATCGTTGTCCACTTCCTCGCGTGTCATCATTGAAAATTCTTTATCTGTTTTACTAGAATTATTTATTTTTCGATATGCCAATGATAATACACGCTAATAATAAAAACAGTTGGAAATATTAGTGTTTTAATTATTAATCGTCTCAAAATATATTTTTTTTCACTACCAAATAAGAAAACAAATAAATTTACCAATCCTTTACTAGCCAAACTCTCAAGACTATTATTAATTTCCAATTTAAATTTTTCGTCACTACCATCATCATTAACTTCTCTCTCGACAACATCATCACCAACTTGGAATTTTGTGCATTTTTTTAGAATAGATTCAGTTGCACCTTTCATGAATACATAATATTCATTGGTGATTTCATTTTTGTAAAGGACCGACATTCTTTTTAAAATTGTATCAAAGTTATATTCCATTATTAATTTGAATTTGAATTCTTCGCTTTCAAGTACCGGTTTTGGTAATCCAGCTTTATGTGAAAATACTTGAAGTGCTCCCTATATCAAATGTTTGGATATATGTGTGAGTGTGTGATTATTTAAAATAATTATTATGATTAAAATATAATAATAATAATAATAATAAAACTTTCTAACCTCAGTTGGATCACCTATAACATTCCATTCACCACGGATAGCACCTTTTCTAATCACGGCCATATTACAAAGAGCGGCAGTTTGAACCAGTTGTCTAAATGCATAACTCATATTTTTAAATGTCACTTCTTCATCACCCAACGATACCTCCTTCGCCTTCTTATTTCCCACGTTCTCATTCTCATTTCCTTCGTCTCCTTCTCCATCATTATCATCACCACCATCATTATTATCATTATTAGAAAGACTATGGCCAATGTTATATATTTTACCGTTTGGAGAGTAACCTTTACGACCAGTTATTTTGTAAAAACCTTCGTGTAATAACCAAGCATTGGTTGCAATCATTTTGCTTTGTGTAAGTGTACCAGTCTTTATTGATTACGGATATTAATATGTGTGAGGGTGAAAATTCAATTTGTAAATTCAAAATAATATATTTTAAAAAAATTTACTTTGTCAGAACAAATGTTTGTTACAGATCCCAATGCTTCCAATGCGCTCAGTTTACGAACAATTGCTTTATTTTTGGCCATTTTCCGTACACCCAAAGCCATAGTTAATGTAATCTAACATTATAACAAATAAATAATTAGTATATTTTCACTCGATTTGAAAATCATCTTCCCTCTATTAAAATGTGTTACAAAATGTATGCATACCACAGCAACAAGACCTTCAGGTAATATGGCAATACTAACTGATACTGCATAAATAAAAACCTCTCTAGTAAATTGCCATTTATTTACACCAAATACTATTACGGATAACACAACAGCTATTCCAAATAATATATATGCCATCATATCCATTCTATATAACAGATTGGAATTAGTTTTTTGTTTTGCAAAAAGTCAATTATTTTGAAATGATAGATTAATTAATTTACGCTTTTTGTAAAGGACTCCTTTGTATAATAGATGATGACGATAAACTTTTTGCAATTTTCCCAATTTCTGTTTCCATTCCTGTACTTATAACAATGCCTTTAAATTTTTTAATTAAGAAAAAATTAACTATCAAGGATTTATAATGTCAAAATCATGATGATCACGTTCTTTATTTAGTTTATTACAAACCTTTTCCTCTTCCTTTTGTTACTGTTGTACTAGAATATATTAAATTTAATCGATCACCTATTGGTTTATCATGTTCTTCGATCACATCAGCACTAAATAATTAATAGAAATTATAAATATAATTAGTAATCATAGTAATAATCATCATCATTATTTGATTGAAGGTATAGTCACAGCACAAGATGATTTTGTTTGTTCCCTGTTCTCTTTAATACTTTCCGGTTGAAGAAAGATACTTACAATTTGGCAACAGGTACAGATTCACCAGTTAATAGGGCTTCATCAATCTCCAAATTTTGACATTCAAATAATCGGGCGTCTGCACCAACTACATCTCCTTCTTCAATTACTAATATATCTCCCTAATATATGTAGAAGAAAAAGATTATCAATAAGATTATCAATGTTAATTTTCTATTGATGTAAGAATTTATAATGTCACATGAGCAAGAATTAAATAAAAATATCATGACAAATTTGGATTGACTGATTAAAGATGATCAATCAATTCGGTTCAAAGTAAAATGTTCTAAAAAAAAAAACATCAAATAATAATAATAGTAATAATTTTAGTGCTTACAGGTACTAGAGTATTCGTAGGAACAAATGTTGAAGCTTCTCCTCTAATAACTCTTGCAGTTGGCGAAGTCATTTTTCTTAATGATTCCATAGTTTTCTCGGCCCGATACTCTTGAAAAAATCCGATTAATGCATTTGTAATTGCAACAAATCCAATCACGCCTATTTAATGTTTTCAAAGAGAATCATTAATATTTTAATATTAAAACTTTTATAGATAGATAAATCAACATCATGTGGTTTACAGCACTACACACGACCTATTTATTTACCTGCTTCAATATAATCTTTCGTGACAAAAGAGACAATCATGGCAATCATCAATATCAACATTAAAGCATTTAAAAATTGTTTTGCTAAAACCATGAATGCGTTGACATTCCCTTGGCCTGATAATTCATTCAATCCATAAATTGGAAAACGTGTTTCGATAACTTCTTCATTTGTCAAACCTCCTTCAATATTCGTGTTTAAGTGTTGAATTATATCGTTGATTTGAAGAGTGTGGTATGGTGCTGTTGGTGGTGGTGGTAGTGATAGTTTTGAACGTTTTGATTTTTTAATTATGGAGTTCATTATTATATAATAGTTATTTGAAAAAAATTTTAAAAAATTAATTGATATTTGTTTTTTTAAAACTTTTCTTTTATAAAAAAATAGATTATTTGCCCCAAAAGTTAATTTCAAATTCGCACGATTTTGTTTTGATCACAAAGCATTGATCTACAAATCGCCAATAAATTTTTCTCTGAAGAATCTTCTACGATTGTGATTGACAAATAATTTGTATTGATTTGGAAAGTACTATTTAAAACAAGTCTGTTATGACGTATAATTCGCTATGTCGGCGACGGGTAATTCCGGGAAAGATAGTTAAACTGCAGGGGGTTTTATTTTTATTATTATTTTTAACGCCACGTTATCAAAAATACCAATTATTTCTTTAATATAAATAAATAAATAAATTAAAGATACTATTACAATCAATTATGTTTATAAATTTTGTAATCACCATTCAAGAACACACTACAATTTGAGATTGGATTCCAAATGCATTTTAATTCAATTAATTGTTATTTAGTATATTGATATATTTGTTATGAGAATAATGAAGGATTAAATACATGCAGCAAATAAATCTGTGTTAATGAGGCACTCATGGTACAGATCCCTCGCATAAATATCTTTATCCAATAATTACTTGATTATGCATTTGGTTCGTTATGGAAATTATACGTGAAATACAGAATCAAAATATCAGAAAAAATGCCTTATTGGTGAAATTATTAAATATCTAAAATTTTCGGAAAACAAATATTTATTATTATTATATTTTTCTTTGTAATAACGATGTCTTTATACAATTTTGGGTTTGGATCTTCTTGAACTATATTAAAAATAAATTTCCTTGGTTTTTTAATAACGATATTCTAATTCGCTAATGAATTCATGGCAAGTTGATTGTTGTTGGGAAATCTTTGCGTTTATTCTATAATTAAATTTTTTAATTTGTGATTACGTGGACACTGGCTCTGCTTATAATAATGGAAGGGACCTTGACACGATCAAAAATTATTGTTACACGTCGGAAATTAATTTTGACGTAAACTTGCATAAAATAAAAGTTTACACGACCGCCGTAACATAGGTAAAATTTACTATTACAAACAAGTCATGGTGCTTATATAACAATAATAATATTTGTGTAAAATCTGCAACTACGCCTGAAATTCCTGGTGCGTTCCATAAATGGTTTTAGTAATCGAGATAATTTTAAGTTTTGAGGTCAGGAAAACAATTCGGGCTGCATATTCCATCAGAAAATTCTGCAAAAGCATAACAATAAAAATTTACGCACGCGTAACATGTGTACTAAAACAGAAATCCGGAATAGAAAGGATATTGGTCACAATAATAAGGATACGGTCCCAGCCCTGTAGTAGTAGTTACACCTGAAACACGAAATAAAGCTGGCCAATCAAATTTATTGCTTTGAAAACATTGGCCAAAATACAACTTTTCGACATAATAATTTCTATTTTCTAAAACAATGGCCGCGTAAAACAATCCTTGTTGATTGTATACTACTAGTATAGATCTATTTTTTTTTGGAAAGGGGAAAATTAATTAATATAAACTAAAATAAAAAAAATTCTCACTCCCAATTAATATGTTTAAAGAACCAATGATTTAATAAAATTTCTTTTAAATAATAACAATTCTCATTAATATCAACTGTTATATAGTATTTTTAAATATATGTAATCATAATGAAAGAGTTAATAGCACTGAAGCAACTATATGATGATTATGTTGATTACTAAAATAAGAGTGTAAATCAATTTAATTGTATCTTGCATTTACTCTCCATTCTCTTGCATTTATCCGATAATGTGAATGTGGCGTTATTTCACCTACTAAAGCAATATTTAAATTTCTAAATTATTAACCCGTATTTTGCTATTAAAATGTGATCAATATGGGTCACTCACAATTCATTATCAAAAATACACATATATAGTACAGTGTAAAACTTTTTAAGGATTTGCGCAACTTTGCTCAAAATTATTAAATAAACATTTATTGAAAAGTAGAAATTTCAAAAAAATGTTTCTCTTTAAATAAGATATCTAGAGATTTTAAAGTTACACTTGACTACCAAAAGTTGAGGATATACTTTTCCTATATTCACTTAACAATAAAATACTTTAATAAATCCAATAGCTCTTTGATAGCTTGTTTTGATGTTCTAACTTTAGTATAATGTTGGATAAATTCTACTTTTAAAAGATATTTCACTATTTTCATTAATTCTGTATGCACATCTTGAGCTGAATAATGATCGATCCTACTAACATTACATGCAATAAATCCTTGTAAGCTGGTAAGAAAATTTTGTTCGATATCCCTTATTCCAATTTTTGATTTTTTCAACAATATAATTTTATTAAAGACTTGGTAGGATTATAATATTAATATTAGTTATGGGTTTATAAAATTCTGAATAATTTTTTACATTAAAAAATCTTTGCAACCAAAATAAATTTATTAAATAATTACTTATAACAATTCTAGATGGATGGATATGCATTTAAAATACTAGATAAAAAATCCATATTATTTTTATCATCCAAAACTTATACTAAAATAAAATAATTATTTACATGTTGTTATATATAACAATTTTTAAGGAGTTTATATTAGGAAAGTTTTTGTATTAGAGAAGTTATGATCAATATTTAATATCTCATGATATTTCGTTATCTAAACTTTCGCCCATAGTTTTTCCATGATCAGTGGATCATGAGCAAGAGATTTGCAACATCAAATTAGAGTTATATAACGAAATGATTATGATCAATTTCAGGAAGTCAGGCACTCTCAAGCCAACCACACAAACTCTAACCAACATGCTTTTTCTTTTTTTTCTATTAGATCATCCAATCCTTTCTACAAATCTCACTTGTCTTGTGTTATATATGTACATATGTAAGATGTGAAATTGTTACAAAGTAAGTATGCAATATTATTCACTAGGGAGTGGCTATATATAATGAAAGATAATTTAGAAAGTATAATCTATAAATATGCTTTTTCTTTTTTTTCTATTAGATCATCCAATCCTTTCTACAAATCTCACTTGTCTTGTGTTATATATGTACATATGTAAGATGTGAAATTGTTACAAAGTAAGTATGCAATATTATTCACTAGGGAGTGGCTATATATAATGAAAGATAATTTAGAAAGTATAATCTATAAATATACATGTTATCATTTTTGATTCAGGTATAATCTCACAATATCTCAACAAACATATTAATAACAAGTTTATCTAAGATAAAATTCTTGTTTTTTTATTATTATAAACATTTTTATGTTTATAGAATTCTATAATAAAAGTGATGGTAACTTTGATCACAAAGAAGATTTAATTTAAAGCATATGATTAATTGTTAAAAAATTTTTCAATAATAATAAAAGGTGTTTAGTTCACCATGTAAATGCTTGCTAAGGGACTAGGTGAAAATTTCAATAATCAAATAAGATAAATAAAATTTATTCACAAATCCAATTCAATTTGTTTAGAATCTGAAATAGTTAATTTATAGTTTAATTTAAAATATCATTAATTAAGATTAAAATATAATAATAAATTAAATTATTACCATTATTGTTATTAATAATTGTAATTTTATTGGAATTTACAGGTTGAGGAAGATTTGTAAAATTCAATAGTCTACTTGTATAAACAGCATTTGGATGAACAGTTGCTGTAATTGTTGAAGGATTGAAGGGCTTTTTATCTGCTTCCTCAAATATTTTTCTTATTTCTTTTAATTCTTTTAATTTATAATAATTAAGTTTGTGTTTTAGGATTCCAGTGATACCAATTGTGCCAACTGCATCTTTCCAAAAAGTAATAATTTTTAAAATTTCATCTGCTGTTGGTCTTTTTTCAGGATCAGCATCCATGCATTTGTATGCTAACCTAATATAACATTCTGGAGTGTTATCTGAAAAACTAGGCCTTAAGCCACCACAAATCTTCAGTGCAAGTTCTAGATCATGTGGTTGATCTTTAAATGGCTGTTGATGTGTTGATGTTTCTGACATTAAAATCCCAAAGCTGTAAATGTCAGATTTTTGTGTGTAAGGTTTCTTATTTAATACCTCTGGTGCAATATATGGTAGTACTCCAAATATATCATTTTTACTTTTACTTGATGTTTCTTGATCAGCTGAGCCTGATAACCCTAAATCTGTAATCATTGCCTGGGATAAATAATTAAAATATAAAATATTACCACTGTGAAGATCACCATGTGTAAGTTTTTCTTGGTGAAATGTGTTTAAACTTGAAATGATGTCATAAAGTATTGTGATTCTGTCATTCCAATTTCTACAATTTGATTTTAAATATTTCCTGTAATCTCCTTGGTCTGCATATCTCATTATGAGAACATATTCTTTTGTATTTGGATCTTGTGAAATACCATAAATATTAACAATGCCCATTTGATGAGGTCCTATAAATTTAATGTGATTTTGAAGCTTTATGAAAATTAATAAAAAATTAATATATTATTTAAAAATCATTAATTGTCAAATTATATCAAATTATTTATATACCTCTTTTAAAAACTCATCAGAAATGCTTTGTGAGTTTTTAATCTTTTTTAATGCTACATGACCACCTTCACAATAATATCTTCTATTTTCATAAACATATCTAGGACCATTTAACCAGCGACACCTATACACAGTTGCAAAACCACCTTCACCTATTCCTCCTTCAACTGTGAGTTGTTCATAAGGAATCCACTCAAGGTAATGATAACTATCAAATCCTTTTGCTTCAAGCTGTGTATTTCTGATTATGTCATCTAATTTTTTATTACCACTGCTAGTCCAACTTTGAGATAACAATTTAGGATCACATGATTGACACCACTGGTAATTAGTATTATATCTTCTACAAACAGAACAGGTTCCATATTCTTTTTTCCCTTTTTTAAACTCCTTGGTGGTGTTATCTTATTATTTAAATAATTAATTTTTTCATTATAAAAAAAATTCAAAATAAAATAGAATTATTTTCAATATAGCATAATAAAAACATTCATTTAAAAGTATAAAAAAAATTAAATTTATAAATTATTTTACATTCAGTTGTTAGTTATTATAAAACATAAAAAAAATTTATATATTTAGTCAAGAGCTTTGATAAAAATTATTTTGTGTTGTAAAAGTTATTTTATAATTATAACATAATATTTACCAGCTGATTATTATGAAGGAATAAAAATTATTTAATTAAATGATGATGTTATAAAAATTACTTACATGCTGGTTATCATAAAGAAAAATAAATTTATTAATTAATTGATGTTTTAATAAAAATTATTTGTAAAAGTTTATGATACAATACTTACTTCCTGATTATTATAAAAATTTATTAATCAGATAATGTTTTAATAAAATTTATTTTGTGTTGATTTATAATAATATATTACTTACCAGCTGGTTATTATAAATAAAAAAATAAACTTATTGATTTGATATAAAAAATTATAAAGTTGATTTATAACACAATAAAATGCTTACCAGCTGGTTATTGTGAAAAAATAAAAATGAATTTTATTTAGTTGATGTTTTAATAAAAATGATTTTATGTTATGTATAAAAGCATAATACTTACAATCTGGTTATAAAAAAAAGTAAAAATTGTATTTATTTAATTAGACAATGTTTTAATAAAATTTAGTTTGTAAGAAGTTGGTTCATATAATGCTTACATACTGGTTATTATAAAGAAATAAAAATTTTATTTAATTAGATGATGTTTTAATAAAGTTTATTTTGTGTTGTAAAAGTTAATTTATAATATAATACTTACTCTCTGGTTATTATAAAGTAATAAAAAATAATTAGAAGATGTTTTAATAAAGTTTATTTTGTGTTGTAAAATTTAATTTTATAATATAATACTTACCAGCTGGTTATTATAAAGAAATAAAAAAAAATTTATTTAATTAGATGATGTTGAAGATAAAGTTTATTTTGTGTTGTAAAAGTTAATTTTATAATATAATACTTACCAGCTGGTTATTATAAAGAAATAAAAAAAAATTTTAATAAAGTTTTTATTTTGTGTTGTAAAAGTTAATTTATAATATAATACTTACTAGCTGGTTATTATAAAGAAATAAAAAATAAATTTATTTAATTAGATGATGTTTATTTTGTGTTGTAAAACTTGATTTATAATATAATACTTACAATCTATAAATAAAAAATAAAATTATTTAATTAGATAAAGTTTATTTTGTCTTGTAAAACTTGATTTATAATATAATACTTACAATCTATAAATAAAAAATAAAATTATTTAATTAGATGATGTTTTAATAAAGTTTATTTTGTGTTGTAAAACTTGATTTATAATATAATGCTTACTCCCTAAGAATAAAAAACAAAATTATTTAATTAGATGATGCTTTAATAAAGTTTATTATTTTGTGTTGTAAAAGTTAATTTATAATATAATACTTACGCCCTGGTTATTATAAAGAAATAAAAAATAAAATTATTTAATAAGTTGATGTCATAATAAATTTTATTGTGAAGTATTTATTTACCTTTATAGAATTTAGCTAATTATTTTATTATAAAGCAATATTAAATTACAATGTAAAAATCCTTTTACTATTACTACATATTTTTAAAATAGTTATTTTCTGTGTAAGAAAAAAAATACCTTCATTCATTTTTTATTGGAATATAAATGAATTTTTTGTCTACTGTTCCTTATAATCGTGTAATAATCCACAAAAAATATCCACAAATTTTGTGATAAAATAGAACATTAATTAACAACATGCTTATAACTGAGAACGCAATGTGAGATTTTGCTTTTCGTGCTGCGCGAGAATTAAAATTCAATTAAGTTGGGTTTTGCGTTTTCTTTGTCGCAAAGAACAAAAAAATGACATCACTCGGGCCAAAACAATAGTCTATTTTATTAAATTCGAAACATATAAATAGGACAGTCGTCCAAACTTATTTTTTCGTAGAGAAATTCCTCTCGGGCCATTTCAGCGCACGGAACTCAACATTCAACATTTGGCCATGTTGTACGTGAAAATGAAATTATGTGAATTCGCAATTCACACAAATTAGCCAATCAGAATTTCACCCCACTCCATAACAATAATATTTCAATTTCACATACAACAGCCACATGAAATAATTGTTCTTTATTATTATACAACGTTATTACTATTACAGGAGAGACCGTTCTGATAACAAAATTTTAACCCACGCAATTGTTGATTGATTGACCAATTAAAATTGTGAATTTAAAAATAAAACATTTAATGTGGGTTTGATTCATTTTGTCAACAATCACTTCACGAACAATTGTTTCATTGACAAATGGTTCGAATTTAAGAAGTTGGAAGCAACCATTTGAAATAGTTAATAAATTAAATCGTACTACTCGAAAATGCATTTAAAGGGTTGGTTTTCGACTTGGTTGAAGGAATAACTCTTTCCTAACTCTTCTCTTGACCATATCTCTCGATATAATCAAAATAACCTTAATATAACGAATGTCAAAATGATTGTAAACGCGACCAATTTAAGATATACGATCAAGAGAAAACATGAACGATGTATGAAAAAATCAAACAGTTGTTTCGTTAACAAATGGTTCGAATTTAAGAAGTTGGAAGCAACCATTTGAAATAGTCTAATAAATTAAAACGTACTACTCGAAAATGTATTTAAAGGGTTGGTTTTCGACTTGGTTGAAGAATAACTCTCTTTCTAACTCTTCTCTTGACCATATCTCTCGATATAATCAAAATGACCTTAAAATAAATTAATTTGAATATTTTAATGTAAATTATCATTTATTTTTATTTTTATTATTTCCTAGGAGGTTATATTTTAGGTTCAAATCAACTTCTCAAAAAATATTTGCCAATGAGTTATGAATTTGAAGTATAGAAATTAAAAAATTTAATAAAAAATAATATGATTAGTATAACTGTTGGTGAAACTTCCTGTGTCCAGTGTTGATGTTTAAAGATATTTTTCGATTTATAAAAGTATATTAACTGAACTGATTTAAAAGAAAAATTAAATTTCATGTATTTTAATTTTTCTGAAAATCAATTTTGGAAAAAAAAGCATAAAAGCATGATTCTATATAGAAAAAAAAAAGTATATATAATTTGCAAAAAAAAAGCATAATCATGGACACCCTACCGCTTTATAACTATGGAATTATAGATAAATTTAATACGGTTTGATAAGTCGTTACCCCACATGACCGACTTATCGAGTTTACATATTAAAAATATAAATTTTCAGACAATAAAATTATTCCAGACGCATTTCTATATGTTATTATATCAACTTTAATAAGTATTTTCCCTTAACAATTTTTTTAATAATAAAACTTATTAATAATACATTAAATAAAATACCACGCCCATCCATCGCAATGATAATGTCGTAGCCAACCAATCTAATGCCACGTCCAAAGTGAATACAACTAATAAATGCTAAAGCTATTGCTACTACTAACATACATGAATTAAAAATTGTTTTTTCATAATACTAATAAAAAAATAAAAAAATAACATCACGTCTAAAGAAGTTTCTGTAGGTAGTTTCTTGAGAAGCGGACTAAATCAGACATCAAAAAAAAAAAAAGAATAACCAATACTAAAGCTACTGCTACTAATAATAATTATATTACTAAGAAGCTAATAATTCTACTACTACTACTAATATAGACCTGATTTAGTCCGCTTCACTACCAACCTCCGTCGAGTCCGTACCGTACCTTAGATCTTCTGCCTTCCATGACAAATGAGTAAAAGTACTGGTGAAAATTAAATAAATAAAAATAATGATAATGATAATGATAACGAAGGATGCAATAATTAAGGATGATGTCAATAAATAGATAAGTTGATAGATAATTAAAGCGCTAACAAACAAATATTTCAAAATAATTATAATCAATTCAATTCGAACAAATATTGAATCAATTTGTTACCAACTATCTGGATAAATTAACAAACACCAAAACCTAAAAATCCAATGATGCTTCTCCTCATCGGCTCAACTTTTTCTTTCCTTCATAATCAGCCTTTTGTTTCTAACCAAATATTATCCCCCTTTGATGGCCAAATAACGTGCGTTCGTAATAAAATGTTGCCCTAACTTTAAAATTATTATTTATCATGAATATTAGTATAATGTTTTAACTAATTAATTATCATTATTATTTAATAAAATATAATTGATTATTTACCTGACACTTATTAGAAACCGGCATAAACTTGAATAAATGAAAGTAAAACGCTCAAGAAATGGGTGGTATATATGAAGATGAGTATAGGGATAGTGATAAAGCTAAACTAAAGTCAAAATAAAACTAAACTAAAACTAAACCAAAGAAGCTAAAACTTAACTATACTAAAACTATACTAAAGAAGCTAAAATCAAACCAAATTAAAACTAAACTAAAGAAGCTAAAGTGGATAAATGAACGAAAAGAAGGAAGGAGTGAATGGAAGCGCGAATAAAAATGGAGGCATAAATAAAGGTCGAATGAGGTCTAATGTATGCAGAAAGAATTGGTGTGAATGAATGTGTAAATAAAGGTGTGAAAGAGAATACGAAGTAATACATAAATGACTATATAAAGGAGCATATAAAGGAGTATATAAAAGAGTATATAAAAAGGACTCGCCTTCCAGTTACCAGCTCGTGACGTGTCCAATAAATATATATATATATAAAATATAAAGCATAAAGTCCAATAATTATAAAGTTTCTCCGTCTCTGCACACAGCTCAGGAGCATTCTCAAAATACTCTATTGCGCAGTTCCTACTGTAGTGCTAATGCTAAGCACTATAGACACACAGCCTAATATGATAAAATAAAAAAAGAATATATACAAGAAATATTTACAAACTATACCACTTGAGGCGTCCCTACAAGCAACATAGAACAATCAAATGGGGGGGTTCCTAACTAATGATTAAAGGTTGGCCAGACCACTAACCATCAGGGAGGATCATGAAACAATTCACAGTGGCTTTTCCTCTTAATTATGCAAAAAATTCGTAATGTGTTTATTTAATTATTAACAACGGGGGGGTAATTATTCAATTGTTATATGTTATTGTGAAAGAACGTTGAAAAAGAAGAAGATAGAGAAACAATTCAAGAAGAACCGAATTATGATTCATTATTTTATTAATAGCGGTTCAATTTGTTTAATATTTATAAATTTAATATGATTACTTTATTTTTACTAATTAATAATACTTATATGATAAATTTAGAACTGAAACTAGTAAAATTGGGCGCTGGAGTTATTTTAGTGTTGCATTTAGTTATACTTTTATATAGTGGCTAATTACTACTGTAAAAAATTTAACATAATAAAGATTAATCAATATTAATTAATCATTTTAGTTAAATTTCAATAATTTATTCATATCGATTATTAATGATGTATTATGATGTTGTTAAATTATGATGCTGTTAAATTTCGATGTTGTTAAATTTCGATATGATTAAATTTTGATATATAAAGTAATATATTCATACTCCTAATTAATATGTTTTATATTTAATAAAATTTAAATAATGATTCTCGGCTCATTATAAATCAGCTGTTATATTTGTTATCTTTCAATAAACCATTTTATTTTAAATATATAATAATAGTTGTTAATAACACTAAAGCAAATATATGGTAAATATGATGACAATAAATTATAATTTACTAAATTACAATGCTCTTAAAGACTTCAATAGGTAGTAAATCAATTTAATGTGAATGTGGTTTTATTTCACCTACCGAAACAAGATTTACAGTTAAGGTGGGACTAGGGATGGGTTTGAAACCAACCTCTGGTTTTTTTGGTTTGGTTTTTGGAACCTCGAACCCAATTATATATACGTGTTCAAAGTGTGAAATAAAATATTTTTATGTGTTAATGAAAACTGGTTTTTGGTATGGGGCGTATTTCCAAAAAGGAATGAAATTCGTTGCCTTTCTTGGTATTTTAATAAAACCGTTCAAACCGTTTAAACCGGTTCCACAAAACCAAACCAAACCAAACCAAACTTCCTCATCCCTAGGTGGTGGGACATTAATTTTATTATGTTTATTATCCGCATTTTACTATATATTAAAACAAGGGATAACCTTACCATTCGAGACGTCGATCCTAAGGTTAAACCTCTTACCGGTAAACCATGATCCAATCTACTATGGTTAGCTCGGTCTAAAGACTGACTAATGCTGCGCCACGCGCTCAAATTTCAAAAAATTGCGATTTCGTGATTTGACTAAAAAATTATTTTCCTTACTGCCAAATTTAGATATGATGGTCGAGTATTAGTCTAAATTTAGCAATGATCCTAGCGCTCAAATTTCTCATGAGCATGGTAAAGTACATGTTTTAAAAAAGAATATATATAGAACTCTACAACAAATAATTTTTTTGAGAAAATCTCTTTATTGCATTAAAACCAAATACATATTCTATCTACTAATAGAGCTATTGTTTTAAAAGATAGGACAGAAAATGACTTCTATACTTTTACAATTTGCCCAAAATTTTAGGAGGTCTTTAGACCGAGCCAACTATAATTAAAATTGGGGTTACACACATAACCACACAACCACCCAGACACCCCTGTTAAAAGGTAAGGGAGAAATTTAAACAAAATAAAATAAAATAAACACCAATGAAAAGCCTTTAATCACTAGAGTGATCGGCAGAGAAAATTATTTTTCCAAAAATGTTTTGAACACAAAAGTCACGTGTTTTATAAAAAAAGTTTCTCTGGCTACTTTTGTTACACGGTTAAATTACGTGTTTTATAATTGTTTAAAATTTTGAAAATCTGGGGGGGAATGATAAACAAATAATTAAATTTGAACGGCCTTACAAAGTTAATCCTGCAAAAGGAGCAACTATATGATAGTGTTAGCGACCTTAAGTTTTATTTTCTCATGATCTTCTTCTTGTTGCAATTGCAATTATTACTAATCATAATTCCACGAACTTGTGCATTCCACGAGGCTAATTAGTTAATCTTATTATTTAGTTAGACTTTTGTACAATAATAACAACGCGTATAAAAAGGACCCCAGGAAACTATATAGGTTATTACCGCGGCTACTGCAAATTACGAAATTTGGAAAGATTTTCTTCAATCAACCAGTCACACAGTGAGTCAAACTTTATATCAAACCCTAAAAATAAAAATCACTTGTTTTTTATTTTTTAGGGGAGACACAAGAGACATGAGAGACATGAGAAAGATTCACGCGCGCATGGCAGATCGTAACAATAACAATTGAAAATAAAATATATAAATAACACTTAGGTTTCCCCTCTTTCAAAAAGCAAGCAGTAAGAATTTCCTTCTCCACCAACATCATCCATTTTATTCTTCTTCAGCAACATCCATTCTATCCTTCGACGACGACAAGACCTTCCCTCTGTTATATTATTATTATTATTATTATTATATTATATTTATAGTTATAACATTATTGTATATAGCTGCAGTATTTTATTTTAATAATAATAATAATAATAAGATTACCCATTCTGGGAATATGTAATAAAATCATCAAATAAAATTTTATTCTTCTCATTTTAATTTATTTAAACATTATTATTATTTTTTCTTTTAATATTTTATTCGTAAAGGACAAGTGAGTAAAAGAGCTCTACTGCCAATGAGGTTGTTCGTGCGTTCATTTCCGGCTCAACTCTTCCTCCGATTGGTTCTTTTTTTTCATCCCTCCGTCCTGATGCGCTTTTGTCCCGAACAGTACTGCAAACAGCCGCTTCTCCCTGAGGTATTGTTGCGAGACGTTGCTCAACTTTTGACCAAAATAGGGTCAGACACTTAATGTATTGATCGGCTTATTTTTATTCCACATGGCAGTAAGTCTTATTATAATAATAAATCAATTATATGGGCGGACGGGTTTATAATTTTATGATTTATTGAATATTTATGAAATTAAAATATATAATTCAATATTTTATTACAATAGGTGGAGTATACTATCTGGAAATAGTGGATTGATTTGTGCAAGTTTTCTGAAAGTAAAAGTACGTGTAACTCTAAATATTTAATTCTTGAAGAAATGATAATTTGTTTGCGTGATATTGACTATTATTATTTATTTATTTTACATATTATATTAGCGGGTCGTTTTCTTCAATTTCTTTATATACTCCTTTATATACTCCTTTATATATTCCTTTATATGCTCTTTTATATAGTCCTTTATATAGTAATAGTCATTTATATATTCATATATGTGCTAGTTCTTGTGTTACTTTATATTTTCTTTTACGCCTTTATTTACACATTCATTCACACCAATTCTTTTCTGACACATTCGATCATATTCGGTCTTTATTTATACCTCCATTTTTATTCGCGCTTCCATTCACACCTTTTCTAATTCTTTTGTTCATTGATTCGCTTTAGCTTTTTTAGTTTTAGTTTAGTTTTATTTCAGCTTTAATTTAGTTTTATTCTAGCTTTAGTTTAATTTTTATTTTAGCTTTATTTTAACTTTAGTTTAGTTTTATTCTAGCTTTAGTTTAGCTTTATTACTATCCCCACCTTCATATATACCATCGATTTCTTGAGCGTTTTTACTTTCCTTTATTTAAGCTTATGCTAGTTTTTAACAAGTGTCAGGTAAATAATCAATTATATAATAATTGATAATTAATAACTGATTAGTTAAAACGCTATACTAATTGTCATGATAAATAATAATTTTAAAGTTAGGGCAACATTT